CTACTTTAAGGTCAGGATAGTTTTCAGACGGTCGCATAACAATGATTGACTTAAAAGTTTAGAATTAATAGCATGACTTTAACCTTTCCGTAAATTGATAATTGTGGATTTCTGTTAAGCTAATTCTTACAAGATACATGACGTGCAGTGTGCCAATATTTAAAGCACGTCCGTAAGCTGGTAGCATAAAATAGTGCCTACTAGTACATTTTAAGTAGAATGTAACAAATTGGGTGGGATGCTCACTTCCCGCATCTCTGTATCCATCTTCTTCGCACTCTTCCGCTTCTCTTTTGACAGGCATCCTATCGGTCTGTCGCATATGAGAAGCTTTAATGCAGGCACAAAATGGGTTGGTAAGTATAGTGAAATGCTAAAAGTCCTTACTCCTTTTTCAGGCTTAAGGGGTTTTTTGTTGCCAGCAGCACGTTTGAACTGAATTTGCGCCACCTGTCCGCAAGGTAAATGTCAACAAATGACATGCTCGTAGGCAAGCGACTAAAATTTGCTCATTACATTCGTAGTACAGATCTTAGACTAAACTTTCATCTACTGCTTTTTTGTCACCCGGTTTAAAATTCAGCCTCGTGAATTCTGAAACTTTGCTCATTATTCGCTTAGATTTAGTAATTAAAAATATTTACAAAGTAGAACGAAGTTCATTAAGTTAATCACTTAGTCTATCATATTTAAAAGCACAGGCGCCATTTAGAGATGCATTTATGTGTGTTAGTTCTTTTGTCTATGTCCCAATTTATAGTACTGTGAGCTACCACAGTCCATTTGACACTTACTACAAACGCTGAACGGCCCTGTACTACTTTGTTTGATTGAGTTTCAATTCCGGCCTCTGTCACTCAGGTGGCCATATTGACTTTACCGAGTGGGATGACCTTAGGGCCATGCAAAATTCCGATTCTCCCTCCTTTTGCTAAATTCATGTATTTACCTAAGTTCTATGCCCTCTCTCCTTTATGACGAAGTCTTGAGTCGCTACATATTTACATCGGAGCTGTGCAGTTCAGAAAGATTTCATTGTCCATGATAAAAATCATTGTTAAGTTATTCTTACCATGGTCGAAAACTTAACCCAACCTTGACCATTAACTCTCGTTGCATTAATCTGTCACATAGCATTTCCTCGACGAAGCATCGGAATTCAAATGCAAATTTCTTGTCACCAAAAAATTAAGATGGGGATTTAATGAAATAGCAGAGCTGGAATATATGCAAAATGTCAAAAGTTCTATTTTTTATTTAAGCATATACTTCTTCAGCGACTCGGATCGGAAGATTTATTTAGGTTCAGGTTCCTTAAAAAACTATCATCAACAAGTATACTTCCTCTCTCCCCTTTATTTTAGTGACGGTGAACTTTCACAGGCCACACAAAGCTAAAATACCATTATTGCCGTTCAAGAGTAAGCGCTCAGGACGTCTTGTTGAAGCCTTCCAGTCCCATTCCACCTAAAGCACGAAGTCGCGTTCAGATGTGCAGCAAAGTTAATTTCAAGACTATCATCTGAGGTGCAAACTTTATTTACACCGACTTCTTGAATTGCAAGAGGCTTAATGCAGTTCGCAATCTGTGTGTGGTCCTTATTAATGTCCCTCTTCTTCACATATCGTCTGTAATACTAGGAAATAGACTCATTCATCACAGTATCTTGGAGTCATTACGGTACAGCATCACAGTGATCACCTTAAAAATGTGTCGGAACAATCTGCAGGCACTTCACTTATAATATTATTTGCAGCAATTTACTTACTAGGACATTTCAAGAAAGGGTACCTGACAATCGCCATCAAAGCAAATTCATCAAGTCTTGCGGTGCTTATCATGAAGACAGTGCATTCACTCATCTTCACACGTAAGTCACTCACTCACAAGTAGCTGTCACTGCGTTAAAATGGCATCAAAGCAAAAGGCGTGCTCAATGGTTTTTCCATTCAAACGGTATTTTAAAGTGAGGGATATGAAGCTTGAATTTAGATTTGATAAAGTTATCAGCTGGATGAAAATGTGGACCAAACATCAAAAAACGGAATTAATATTATTAAAATGGAATCATGATTATTTCCAGTGCGTGTCATTTAATAAAAGCTAGTTTCTTGGTGCCTGTCGAAAAAATTTCCAACAGACGCACCAGATTGAGGGGATAAGTGTGTAGCTAGCATGTTTTAACTGTGCTTACACCGATGAGAATGTACTGCTTAAAATTTTGGAAAGTACTGACTGCTTTTTATTGACAAATCTTTGGAGGATATGTGCAATATTTCTGTTGCAATCAATTTCCAAAGAAAATGCACGAATAGGTGTAACTGCTGCGGATGAGTGTTGAGTTTAAAAGGTAGGAAATTAATGAAATTGAGTGGTGCCGAGGCGGCAACCACGGGCTCCACATTACGTAAGACGCAGTAATCCGACAAAGGTGTAATGTTGTAAAAGTGATAATTAGATAAAGCGTTTACGATGACCTTCGTGTGTGTGACGAGATAATCGCGCCACCAAATTTGAGACGCAGGCATTTTGTCTGTGATTTTTTCTTTCATCGTGTGATTTATAATGCAACAATACAAAGGCGATATTGTGTAGAAAATGTCACCGGAACCAATCAGGTAATCAAACTAACATTTCCAGCATATAATGTGGAAGCTGAGCTTCTAAAGTCTATTTTCGTGTCTACATCAAGCAAAGTGGAAAAAGGGAATGTTACAGTGTTAGACCGCTCATCAACCGCTTTTTTTGATTATAGTAGTTCAAGAATTGTGTGATTCTTTGTCGATTCAACTAACGCCATACATTGCGTGGCAGTGAACCGCCGCTTACGTAATTGACATCTTTGCAGAATCAGCATTTGCAAAACTAATTCGGAACGATTTCTCAAATGAGGACAATGCTCAATACCATTTCCATGTTATGGTGCCCAACAGATTTTAACACCTCAACAGCTTTAAGTCCGATACACTTCATAGAGACTCATGCAAAGAACAATCATAAATGTCAGCAATATTTTCTTAACCATAAACAATCTGAACAAAAAACTTCCCCTTTTATGATCATCCACTATAAATTTTATCATAGATTGGTGTGTCAGATTACAAGGCAAATTTTTGTCGATTTTGTTAAAGGAATTGTATGTTCAGATGTTCGACAGATTACAAATCAAAGAGAGAATATTTCCATATTTTGAATTCAGAGCTTAAGATCTATAATGGGTGTTGAAGGTTATGTGGAGTTTATGAAAATTACTCGAATGACAACAAGTGCTTATTTAGATCATCAACCAAATGACCGTTTTCGTAAAGATGTGAAGCCGTGAAATGGCTGAATGGCTTCAAATCATCTACTTCCATCATTTCCAAATGCAAACATAAAGCTTACCCCAATTGTTTCGAAAACGATAAGACTAAAGCCCATCAAACATGTTTCAGTGAACTGTTTCTTTGAAGTTATTCGTTCTGATTGGTCTGGTAATCGACTGGTCCCTTGAAAGCATCGCTTGAGCTTTTAATGAATTCACTCAGTCACTCACTTTTTGCGGGAAATTAGTACTGTCCTAGCGATTTCTTCATATGCTCGTGTTTCTTTATCCCACTCCATAGGTAACTGGGACTGTGGAACTTCACTAGTTGGCCTTTCAGACGCATGTTTTGTGGCTGGTCGACAATTTACGGTTATTAATTGCTAAATTAACACCAAGCACACCAAATTCCATGGCGTTGCTGTACGTTTCATGTTAATAGTAATGGTTCAATTCACTTCCATTTTTTCAAAAAACCATATCGCAGCAGCGTGAATAATGAAGAAGCAATTACCGAGCATGATCATGTTGAGTATCCTCATATAACGTGTTTAGTTCCTTATACTTTTTTTCAGATAGCCAAAAACGAATTCAAATGCTTTAATCGATGACCCTTCATTTAAAAAACAGGTTGAAGGGAGAAGAAAAGCTAAAGAGAGGCTAGAACTGAAAGTCACAAGGTGCAGTAATTGCTACGGTAAAGAGCAATGAACATTCACAATTCTAATTGATACTATAACATTCAGACAAATAAAAAAACAAAATGACGAGCGAGAGCAAACGAGTGAAAACGCTAAGGGGATTTGTGAAAATGAGCTTGAATCAATGCAATAGTCTTTGCTTTTACCTGAATGCAGGTAACTTTCATTTACAGCAAGCATTCGCTACAAAACCATCTAAATCAAACGACCACGCTGCTGACAGAATTGGCGGAACATCAAGCAAATCAATGATACATCTAGAAGTTGCATAGAGTCATCCATTGTCATTATTAATCTTCCAAAAGGCCCGTGCTTAGTTCATAATGCCGGAGTGGGGTCCTGAATACATGGCACACATTCAAAACCGTATGGCACCAACTGCTCCACTCAACGTAGAAGTTCGACCAGTTCCGAACCGAGATTATCCAAGTTTAGACGTCTGCGCGTTTTCTTAACAGAAATGTTCTACCAGCCGAACTAAGCACAAGCCCGCCACATCCCACAAGTCTCCAAATTCGACGTCAAGACCAACTGGGTTACCCATGGTCCTCATGTCTTATCCCTTGATTTGTACTTAGTATGATCACCACGTTCTGAACACAACCCCTTCGCCCTCCATCCACTAGGGCAAGTTTTACGCCTATCACTGCACCGAACAAAGCAGCTATCGAAGCTGACGCTAGATAACTCATCATAGGAACCACCGTGCCTATCCTGAAACTATTGCTTTATCATCAAAAACGAACTCGAGAACACGTGATTTGGGAGGCAGTTCCATGCCTTATTATTACCACTACATTACGGGAGGATCACAAGTACGGTCGCACATTAAACATCGAAACTAAGCATAGGAAGCAAGAGTTCTGAGTTCGTAAACCCTCCTATTGTTAATACTAAAATGAGTTTGTACCCAACATAGGATAATAGACACAGAACCCACGAAATCTCACAACGAGAAATACCACATTAAGATTTGTATATTATGTATACGGCATTACTTCGCACTGGCCAACAACGATTGAACCTTCTTTATATATTCCTGCTCCGCATCCGATCGAGACATACCTAGACAAAAATTACATATCCAACGAGACCCAACCTTTCCTGCCATTCCAGGCCTCCCACTTAGCCTTGCCCTTAACGTCGAGCACGCCAGGTTTGGCTAAATATATGCTCAGGTATGAGACTGTGGAATACCTGTGTTTACGTCCCCAACTGTTGCCTGTTTGTATAAACCATACAGGCACAGTTTGTCATCATCGGAACAATAAGGCAGCGTCTGAACTTCCGCAGCGGCAGTAGCAAAATCCATATTCGCTATGAGAACCACACCCGGATCCAAAGGAGACGAACCTATATAGTTATCAAAATGACCTTCCGTCTAGGTCAATCACTTGTGGCTGATGCAAATACCATCGAGAAGAAGAATTTATTAATAGTTAAAATATAAGAGTTAATAGTTATAATAGAAGAAAAGCAATTTATATTTCGCTAAGAGTCGAAACCCACAGGGATCATGAGTTGCTTAAGTTATGCGTTAGTTTAAGATGCTGAACAAGATTGAAAAACATCCAGAATGTCATAAATGTACACACTTTCTCATAGCAATCTTAATATTAGCGTCTTTCAAAATAAATTATTCAGTATAACTTTGTTAAGCAAGAACTTATTTCTAAATTTCAACACATTTAACACGCTGTTCAAAACGATTTCAGCATTTTGAATCGCATCAAACAGTAAAACATGTGGCTGCTCGTAATCTCTCATTAGGTAGAATATAGCGACGAGTAGAACTGCACATATGCAATTAAGAAAGATAGTACACGTCGGCTTGGACAAAAGCTCAGTCCACTCAAGAAAATGTATTAGTTTGGGCATGGGCTGGCCTTCGGACCACGTTTGGGCTTAATTCCTGTAGCGAACCGAGGTTTCCCATAGGGTGGGAGAAGGCATAAGTGGAGTTGAATACATGTAGTTCGAAGATGACAGGGCAAATGGGGCCTGAGCGTGGCCCAAAGACCAGCCCACGTGTACTTCTAAAGTGACCGCCAAATGTCAGGTAGTCACATAATCAAAGCATTACACTACTCTCCTCTTCTTTTGAGCTGCGTCTCCGGCGCTCCTCTTTGATACACCTCCTGCACCAGCCATCACAACATATTCAGTACTACAAGGAAGCACCCACGAGTCAACTGCACCAGTTGCCAGACAACACGAGACTGGGGAGGGCCGCATACACCTGCTATTCATCAATTTCCTCCAGGAATAGGCGATGGAACTCTGGTCTACAACAGATATGTTACAAGGAAAACGGGATGAGCCATTATCCCGCATGTAAGGAGAACCGTGGTATCATTTCCCACACCTAAACACGGATTTTGAAGGAGAAATTCCGACACGAAACTGTTCCAGATAGTTCATGGCGGTGTCACTTCAGTTGTTAATAGCTCGTCTGTAGAACAGGCATTAAGGTGAAACCAAATGCAGACGTCCCCTTTTTGCCTGTATCTTCATTTACTGCACTTCGATATACTCAGACTTCCTTCTACACATGTATAGCTCATGATTGCTGGTGCACAACGCCAAAATGCGCTTATTAATCTTGGATTTCCTCACTAAAAGCTAGAACTCATTTGCAGTCTTGTCTGCTGGTTGGATTGTAAACTTCTTGTCGTGAAAAGAGAGGTATCGACTTTCCGGCCAAGGGAACCCGTTTTTGGGGGTATCTGCATGTATTGCACCAGTGCACTATTGCTCGTCGGCTCGTTTGTACTGTCCTTTTCCGGAAATCAGTCGATTAATTAGCAAAGTTTAGCCTGTTGCGCAGTAGATAGTCTCGGACACTATGTCGCTTTTAACAAACGACCAACGAAGAACAAGCGGCAGAGACCCCACCTTGGCTAAAAGTCTTGAAACGATGTCGAGTTCGCTTTCCGCTGCCACCAGTGTAGTGTACCGAGGTTTCCCATAGGGTGGGAGAAGACATTGGTGGAGTTGAATACATGTATTTTGAAGACGACAGGGCAAATGGGGTCTGAGCGTAGCCCGAAGGCCAGCCTACGTGTACAGAGGCCAGACAACTTCTAAAGTGACTACCAGGTAGTCACATAAACAGAGCATTACAATCCCTTTGCTCTCCCTGGAATGTATGTATTCGGCTTCAATGAATGACTTCTCTCCTCTAACGGGAAGTCTTGGTGCGCTACAGATAACGCATGTTGAATGCTAAAGTGAACGCCGGCCATACAGACAGTCATATATCTAAGCTATTGGGTTGTTTGTTTGGGCACCTTTCGTTCGAAGACTACTCCCCAAGTGGAACACGGCACAACGTTGAGCAGAATCTACGTATTCTAGAAAGACGAAAAGTTTAAGCTAAAGCTTGGTCTGAGATCTAGCAGACCTCGTTTGCAACCACATTGCTGTAAAACGAGTTCAAAGAATTTCTAATCCATAATGAGTTCGTGATTCATATTGCAGTAGTTTATTAAAGATGGTAAGAAACAGTCGGTGCCACCGGTGTAGCCCCTGAAGATATCTTACTTTGTATAAGAAGGCATTAAATAGGGCTGGATACCTGTAATAAAATAGTATGGGAAGAGTGCACTTTGCCATGGCTCAGAGGACTGCCCACGTGGGTAAGAGCAAAACCAATATCGAAGTGCTCGCGATTTATACGTGTTGCCAAATAAGCAAGGCTTCACAACAGCAACTAATAAATATGATGCAGCGTAGCTGCCAGTCCTTCAAATGAAACTATAAGTTTCCAACTTAATGTATTACTCACTTTAGTATTGTGATAATATAAAGACCAACTTGCGTTCGGACTTCTCAGGCCCTTCACTTGGGGTCGATTGTTGAAGAGACACAAAGTAGCTAGGTATACTTTGTCCTTTTATTTTTTTAAGACTTCAAGCCAAACAATGATAATAACCACAACTTTTTAATTCAGTTTGATTATTTTGTGGAAAAGGTGCACTGGAAACAACTTGTGCCAATTAATTTGGTGTAGTCAATTTTCATGTATTCATCCAACCCAATGTGCCACATGGTCGTCTATGTAGTATATCTTCGTGGTTGATATTTATCGGCGCTGTACTCGCTTTATTTGACTTTCTAGTAATTGACCCACTTTAATTAAAATGTGCTCTGTGAATAGCTCGTTTTGTTTTCCAGTTTAGGATTCCCCTTTTTGGCATCCAATGCATTACAACATTTTTCAATTATGGAGAGCCGTCGGCAAACACCATCTTCGTTTCGTGTCCTCGGTATCGTCAACGATAAGCGCCTCTCGGTTCGAACAGCCAGGTTTTCAATGTGAGTCCAACTATTTGTAACTTTTGACAGTTATCTCATTACTTTGGGTTATAGACCGCGAAGATCGAATCCCCAAGCAATCTGACGTTGTCGTGATTGGTGGTGGGATTATCGGTTGGTCCGTAGCATTTTGGATCCGATATTTGTCAAAGACAACGGTTACTGTAATCGAACGTGATCCCAGTTTGTCGCATTCATCCAGTCTATTGGGGTTGGGCAATCTTTGTACCCAATTTTCAGAGCCAGAAAACATACAGATGTCTCTTTTCACCGCTGAATTTCTACGCGATATCGATGAACAACTCTCTATTTCGCGTAATTCGAATTGTATCGCATATAGTGCTATGAGTAATGTGTTTTGCCTTTGTTAGTGTTGGTGAATTTCTTAAAAATTGAGCACTGTGTGCACTATCTCAATCGTCCATCTCTTTCTAATTGTCATGCTTAGCGAATGACATTGTGGACATAAACTTTAACCCGCATGGTCATCTTATTCTGTCTGATGGAAGCAGTTGCGAACGAATGCGGGAGAATTACCAATTGCAAGAGTAGGTAATCATTTTGTAAGTTCAACAGTTTAGGGCTCTTTCGCTTCCCAATCGCTTGATGACGCCGAAGGAAGTTGAAGCGCGTTGGCCTTGGCTCAACGTAGAAGATGTTCATTTGGCATCATACGGTAAACTTTATCCTTGTGCAATCATTATTTTCATTATCGACAGGATTGTACAGTACTCTGGATTTTTCCACTAACTTCAACTAGTATGTTGTGGTAAAATGCTATCGTTTAACACCAACAGGTGATAGAAACGAAGGTTGGTTTGACCCCTGGCTGTTGGTGCGTCAACTCCGAAACAAAGCTCATGTTTTCGGTGCGAACTATGTTGTGGGGGAGGTGAAGGGCTTCGTATGCTTTAAGGGGCTAACGCGAACACGTTTCCTGGATAGGCCCAAGCGAGCTCCTCTGAACGCCCCTCGCCTCAGCGAGGTGATAGTCAGAACCCCTTCCAGAAGCTTGGAGAATATCGCCTTCTATACGGTCGTCAATTGCGCGGGTGCATGGTCTGGTGAAATAATGAAAATGGCTATGGCAGAAGTACAGGATGAGGTTCCTCCTTTGCCCGTTCAAAAGCGGTATGTTATTATTTTTATAATATTCTAATTTTACCTTTTCTCTTACAAGAGGTAGCATGGCAAATCTGTCAGCCTGTTTGAACGTATATTGAAAATTGGCGCATCTATTTTCACTATGCTGCCTGATTGTCCCTTGAACTTACTTATTTCCACCCTACTTAGGAAGCAGAATATTTTCATTGTGCGTCCGGATTATTCCCAGCCTTCCACGCACTTCCCTGGTATCGACGCCCCGGTTGTTCTCGATCCCTCCGGTCTTATGTTTCAGCGTCAAGGGCTCTCAGGTGACTTCGCCGTCTGCATGAATCCTACTCGGCCCCAAACGGGCGGAACTGTGCGTATCAACTACATTTGCTTTTGCTTAAAACTAACATGACATTTTCTCATTTTTTTTAACTACCTTATAGCCTCCCGGATAACTTTGCTTTTTTTAATTCCCACGAAACAGCTAATAGTTCATTTTCAAGACAACTTATTGCTGATATTTTCGTGCTATCCAAATGTCTGATCTAGTGTGATATTTGCTTTCTCAAATGCTGTATCGAGTTTCCACTACAAGGTCCCGCGTCTTTCTTAGGTTGGATCTGACGACTTGGATGTAGATTACACTGAGTTCAAGGAGGAGGTGCAGCCACGGCTTGCAAAACGGATTCCTGCAATGGCATCATCGCGCGTCCAGTCAGCGTGGTCATGCTTCAATGATTACAATCCCATCGACCAAAGCCTCATCATTGGCCAGCACCCGTATCTATATAATATGATCTTGGCAACCGGTTCATCTGGTCTTGGTATTCAACATGCAGTGCCGATTGGTCGCGCTGTGGCTGAACTCATTCACTACCGACACTACAAGTCAATCGATTTAACCCGTTTTTCCTTTGACCGATTCTACTTGGGCGTTCCGTTTCGCGAGAGGTCCATATTTTAGTTTTCAACTGTCCCACCCTATGTGTATAAGTTTCGTAAAATCAAACTTTAAACACGTCATTTTCTGGTAGATACAATGGTCTTTGTAAAAAAATCCTACAGTTCGCATGAAGATGCAGAGGTGGACTTATACAAGACACTCCTAGTTGATGGAGAGAGTTCGGTGCACATATTAAGTGTGTCACGAAGAATTACAGCATCAATAGCAGCTAGTTCTTCGACGATTTCAACTATAACGTGGGCTATGTTCTCCATGGAAAGAGCATTTAAGTCGATTCCTTTTCTGTTCCACTCTAAGTCGACAAAAGCAATCAGGATTGGTAGAACCATCGAAAATATGTCTGGAGAGAGACGATCCGCGGCCAATCTGACGTATTTACTTAAAGTGTTCAGCTGAAGGAGGAAAGATTCGTGCTCCTGTGAATGAACCTCTCCTTTCTAAGAGTGAACGAGAAATAATAAGTGATAAGGTGATAAAATATCGAAAACGCTTGTACAAGTCACTCACATATGGAGGCGCGCGAGGGGCCAACAGAGATAGTTCCGCAGCCTTCAGCAGCCGTCTTGAGTGTATCAGTACTTCTTGGCCAAGGACATCGACTAGCGTTAAAACGTACCTCTGCAGTACTATTTTTTTGTCAAGAAGGGTTTCAAGAGCTAGATCGCACAGAAGATTGTCCATAAATTTGGAATACCACCTTTTCTTAGGAGCGGGCTCAAGTAAGGATATGAGTGCAGATATAGAGCTACAAGTCAGTTCCACGATTTGCTGCGAAAGGGAATTTAGTCACATAATAATACCCACAAAAGCTTACCGCATTCTCTGAGTGAGTAGAACGCTGACAAGTCAGTGTTTCCAGAGTTGCTTCGGCGCGACCCGTCATTCTCCAAAACGCCACCACAACTTCTTGTGCTAGACGCAAAAGCACTCGAAGACCAAGCATTTTAAGCTGACAACGATAATCTCCAATCAATTGAAGGCTCAATGGGTGCAAAGTGGATAACTGTTGACCGTTGCATAGAACAGGAAAACGAACCATACTCGTTGCCCAAATAAGTGCATCACGGAAAAGAGGCGCCATACTCAAAGAGTTGACACTTGAGTCAGTGCTCAAACGTGCGATACACTGAGTGCTTTCGAGTAAAATATGATCAAATACTGTAGCCTTCACGGACCGTCCGGGAACAATCATAGCCAAAAGGCCGCCAACATCGGGAACGCCAAAGGAAGTTACAAAGTGATCAAGTATTTCTTGAGCTAACGTTACGAGATCTTTGCTGCATTTCGTCAATTTTTTTGTCGATAGCTCATTTCCTAAGCACCCACAAATGACTATTAGAAGCCGGATAAGGGATCGATATGGAAGCCTTTTGATATCATTCCGTCTGGATCTAATGAGCAAGTCCCTAACTTTTAATGCCAGCTCCTCCCATCGCGAAGTTGATAATTCCTCCTCATGGCAGGGGAGTGATGATAACCGGACAACATTTTCGATATCACTGACGAAACAGTCGTCCACCATTAGCAAAATCTCGAGGATGACACAACCGCACCTATCATCAAACGAACAAGCCAATCATATAACACCCATCGGAGAGACGACCCACACAGTGGTTGTTTTGGAGTTCAGCTCGAGTATGGCGCGCTTTAAAGGGCCGAATCCGTCTGTAAGCGAGTTCTGACCGCAACAAAAACTAAAAGTCAAACTACCCAAAGGCAGCCAAGGAGCGTCAACATATTAACTATAGGACTTAACTTAGAGCATATGTCAACAATTAACAATTTATAAAAATATTGTGTAACAAAGAGGTAGCAAGGAATTCATAATATACACTTTTTAATTAATAAGTATAATAAGTACATTAACAGTAACAAAGAGCAAGACTACGGTAGCTCAGTGTTTAGCCCACCTTTCAAGGGAAAAAGTGGTCAAGTGGATCCAAATTTATGGAAGCGGAGAGCAAAGCCAACATTTATGCTTGTAGCGTACTGAGGTTTCCCATAGGGTGGGAGAAGGCATAAGTGGAGTTGAATACATGTAGTTCGAAGACGACAGGGCAAATGGGGCCTGAGCGTGGCTCAAAGGTCAGCCTACGTGCACAGAGGCTAGACAACTTCTGAAGTGGCTACCAAACGTCGGGTAGCCACATAAACAAAGTAGCAGCACCAAAAATGCAATTGTAGTACTGCCTTTCTTTGGCCACTTTAGCTGGCGGTGGCTTCAGTGTGGCTTGAATTTTCCAATTTCTGTCCGAAAAACTATCCGATCTTGCTTGCTACTGACACTACTACTAATACTTCTACCAAATCGGAGGACTGGAATCGTTAAAGTAGCCGGAAGTGAAATATAAATCCATGCCTCAGCATTAACAACTTTGGAATTGCTTATGCTTAGGGTAGCTGGGCTTAGTGGATGGAGTAAAATAAAACCAGATTTCATTGTTATGGTCCAGTACATGGCGTGTGCTATAGCTATAAGCCAGAGATCTAGGCATAGAGCATACTTGTGTCAAGTGGAGAAGGCACAATGTTTTGCATATCTGCAGCTGAACTTTGGTTCTGTGCAGTTTGTCTCCCTCGCTATTAACAGATTTACACAATGAAAAGGGACTGATATGTTTCTAACAGTTCCAATAACAAGTTTAGTTTTTCTTTTCGCCATGTTTGCACCACTTCAGCTTAGCTGCGTTTTGCCCCAAATCGCTCAAATTCAAGTAGCTACCTGTAATATATATTAGTTTAAGTTGACCTATATAGCGAGGAGGCGTGAACCTAATTGGAACGTGAATCCCGTGCGTGAGGGCCGTGAGGAATTCCTCTCCGAGTGATATCGGCTATTCGGCTCATCTGCACTCCTATCCCCGTTCTTTCTGTATCCAATGCCTAATAAATCGGCTGCAACTAACCCTCTCTTGAAGTCCGTAGATCAAGGACAGTTCCTACACTACCCGTATTGATCTTGAGTTCACCGTCTATTCCATCATCATAGAATTCTGAGTTCTACGCTGTAATGCTTTGCTTATGGGACTACCTGACAGTCGACGATCACCTTTAGGTTTTGTCTGGCACTCGTAATTGTGAGCTGGTACTCGGGCCACGCTCAGACCCATTTGCTTCGTCCTCTTTGGAATGCATGTATTCAGCTTCACTTACTGCCTTCCTCTATCCTGTGGGAAGTCTCGAGATGCCACATACGCATTGTCGAAGTAATGCAAAATGCTTGAACATACTGTAATATATTCTAGTTGTTTAAGTGGACCTATATAGGTGAGAGGCGGAAACCAATTGGAAGCGTGGATCACGTGCGCGAGGTCGACGAGGAGT